GACAGCTCCAGAATGACCATCTAATTAAGCTTTTTTTTATCCTGTTTTAACATCCCATATACGAATTGAACAATCACTACATGATGCTAAATTAGTTCCATCTGGTGAGAAGCAAACTGATTCGACAGAGCCATAATGGCCATCCAATTAAGTTTTTTATTATCTTATTTTAACATCCCATAAACAAATTGAACAATCATCGCTACCTGAACTTGATGCTAATGTATTTCCATCTGGTGAGAAACACACTGATCTGAGAAATTCAAAATGACCATCCAATTAAGCTGTTTATTACCCAGTTTCAACATTCCATATACCGATTGAATTATCAATACTAGCCGATGCTAAAGTCAATCCATCTGGTGAGAAGCATACTGATGCGACGGAGCCATAATGCCCTTTTAATTTGGCTTTTTATAATCCTGTTTTAACATCCCATAAACGAATTGAACAATCACCACCTCCATATGAATTTCCACAACCAGAGGCTAAAGTAATTCCATCTGATGAGAAACATACTGAATTGACTTAATCTGTTAGGCCATTTATTTTTGCTTTTTATTATCCTGTCTTAACATCCCATAAACGAATTGACTTATCCTCACTACCTGATGCTAAAGTAGTTCCATCCGGTGAAAAGCAAACTGATTTGACATACCATTCATGACCAATTAATTTGGCTTTTTATTATCCTGTTTTAACATCCCATAAACGGATTGAGTTATCAGCACTACCTGATGCTAAAGTAGTTCCAGCTGGTGAGAAGGAAACTGAATAGACAATATCAGCATGGCCAATTAATTTAGCTATTTATTTTCCTGTTTTAACATCCCATAAACGGATTGACTTATCAGCACTACCTGATGCTAAAGTAGTTCCAGCTGGTGAGAAGTATACTGAATAGACAATACCAGCATGACCAATTAATTTAGCTATTTTCTTTCCTGTTTTAACATTCCATAAACGGATGGAATTATCAATAGTACCTGATGCTAAAGTAGTTCCATCTGGTGAGAAGCTGGCTGATCGGCCATTATTAGTCTCATCATTTAATTAATTCAGTTAGGGTATTTGAATTTTCTTCCACTTACAATTAAACAATAATGCTCCATTTAGATTTACTTTACTGATCAAAACATTTTCAAATTCAGATCCACTGAAATTGCATCTTACAAAATTTCCGCCAATCAAACTACTATTTTTGATTCGAATGTCTTCAAAGTTATGGTTGGTTAAATCAACTTTCAGGCCTACTAATAAGCTAAGCCCATTTGACCCACATTAAATAAATTTTTCATCAACACTAGTGAGTTAAACTAAAAATTTTAACAATTAGACTATTTAATCATCATTTGATATTTTTTTAATTAGATCTTTTCTATGTTCTTCAAAGAAGTCTTCAAAATAATTTTTATTATTAAAGTCATGGTCTTTAATATATTTCAAAAAATTGATCAGTTTTATCATTTAATTTTATGCCACATCCTCAAACTCCACATTTGTTTTAATTGTTTGTTTTAAAATTGACTATATACAACGTAAGAGATTTTCGTCATCTGAAAGAAATTTTAAACAATCTGAAATGTTTTCTTTTCTCAAAATTTCAATTATCACCTCATATATTGATTAGTCCACATCTTTTGATAAAGCTAACAAATTATACAAATCTTTCTTCTATTCCATTCCTTTTTTCAAAATAAATTATATTGAATTTCTATTACTTTTATATTAAGTTTTATATTATGAGTCTTTTGCATTAAAGGTAAGACAAAATCAAAATACTTTGGAAATTAGGATTTGATTGTAATAGAGGTAAAATTAACAAATTTTAAATCATATGAAATATTGTAGAGCTTGAATCTTTAAAAATATAGAATTAATAAATCACTTACTTGTTAAAATTATTCATTACTGATAATCGAGATATATTAGATTGAAAACTAGGATCAAACTACAAAACTAACATAATTTATTGAGCGAAAAAAATTTTTTTTTATCTTAAACAAATAAACTTTTAGAACTTTGAAAATAGTGAGAACTGTAAAAATGAACTTAAAAAGAAATTCTACCAAAGATCTTTATCGGTTTGTATAATAAGGAAAAGAATAGAAAAAAAATTGGAAATTGGATAGTATTTTGGAAGGGAGAAGCATTAAAAAATGTTGATGGTTATTACTCTACAAGATGGATTAAAAAAAGGCTTAAGGACATAATTGACTATTAATTATTAGAGGTATACATTAAATAATTAGTAGAAAATAGAGTCATACCTAATTCTATGAATTTGGAGAATACTTTAATGGTTCTAAAAGAGGAATTTGGAAGTTGATTTATGATTGTTTAACCTTGTAAATAATAATTATTCTAACACAGAGGAGAAGGTTATTATAATAATAAAGGTTAAAGGGTTGGCCCACTAGTAGGTTTAATTCAGCAGTCACATTATGTTGAATTCTCTAAATATATTATTTGAATAATTATTTTATATATTTTTTTTTTTCAAAAAAAAGTCTTACATTAAAAACAAATAATACCATTAAAATAGCATGATAATGAGATTAATATTGGATAATAATTACATTAATAT